AACTTCAGCTTGTAGTTTATCTCAGCGTATTAAATTTGGTGATAGAATGCATTATTTCTCGAAAACTTTCAAAATAAGTGATTATTGACAATCAGTGTCTTCTAGTATTCTGGTTATTAATTTTGATTCATAGATAATGATTGCCATCCTAGACAATTGGTGAACCTTCATTCTATCTCTCCAGTCTTGTTTTGAAACTGGCTCCTCACGCTAGGCTTTCTCATGAATAGAGTACGTATTTATTTTGTTTATTTTTGCTTATTATCGGATTAATTTAAGTATGTTACATAATCTAGAGAGAGATACCAAGCTCGCATGTTATGAAACTGTTTTTGTGAATTTACATGCAGATTTTGCATCATAGAAGGCCCTGAAACAGTTCAGGACTTTGCCAAGATGCAAATTCAAGAAATTCAGGATAATATTCGGAGTCGTGGGAACAAGATATTCCTGCTCATGGAGGAGGTAAGAAAATATATTTTTATTTACAGAAGTATGTTACTTTGTTTTGATGCAAACTATGGAGCTCAACATTTGATGTAGATGTAACTTTTTGAGGAGAAAACCTATGTAACACCATAATAGAAACTTCTTCCAATGGTTTTTTAATTGAAGGATCTGCTGAAAATGCTCAAGTCAGACTTTGTATTATCTGGGTTGGACCGGACATTCTTAAAGAAAATGCTAAATTGAGTTTTAGTATCAAGTTGAAGCATCACATTTTCTTTTGATTATGTTTTCATTTTAGGTTTCTTAAACCTTTTCTTTCACTCTTTTATTTTCTCTACTTAACATTCCTAGGTATCTGTAGGTTCGAAGGCTGAGGATACAACAGAGAATTAAAGGAGCTGAGCTTGGTATTTTACAGGAACAGCAAGAAAACGAATTTCCTAATTTTCCATCATTCATCCCCTTCTTGCCTCCTTTGGTGAGGTTTCTTTCATTTAGCTATGTTATGCTCTTTTCACCCAAATTCTTCCCACTAATAGTTTTCTTTTAAAAGTACTTTGAGCTTTGAAATTATAGCTGGATGCTTTTGTTATCACTGAAGTTAACCCCATTAGGATTTTTCTTGCAGAGTGCAGAGAATCTCAAGCTGTATTATGTGATTTGTTTCACTCTTATTGCTGGAATTATAATTTTTGGTGGCCTCCTAGCACCCATAGTAAGTCATTTTTTAACTTAATTATCGTACTCAAGCTCCATATATGCTCACACCTGCATGTATAACCATTAAGTTTTCTTTGTAATGCTTTTTCTTTTTCCTTTGACTTCCGTAATCCTAAATGTTTCAGTGTTACTTACAGTTTTACGCTTGATTGTTTCACTTGTGGGAGAAAGCCCCCTCATCTAAAGAAATGTCATGAGATTGTTTCATTTTTAAGGCACTGATAGAATTTTACAAAGTGGCCTTTTTTGTTGTTATGTGGATTAGGAAGTTGAGAACCAGTGTAAAGTTTCCTAGGAAGTGTCAAATTTCATTAGAATTTCATCATCACTCTCGTTCTTTTTATTGAAACATAAATTTTTGAACACCCTTAAAATCCAATATGAGCATCTATTACTTCTGTTCTATGTTAAAAAAGTGATGGCATTTGAAATGTGGCAAGTTGGGTTCTACAAGGTGCTTTTTTAGCAAGTTTTATCACATTCTTTTTTGTGATGGACTGGTAGAAAGGTTATTGTTAATGTAGTTATAATCATGAACGTTCAAGGTTGAAAGTTGGAAATAATATGTTGAGAGTATCTGGATTTCAAAGAAAGCATTGTAAATTTTATAGACATAAGTTGATCAATAAATTGGAATGAAGTAACAAGGAGTCTCACTGTTTTTTATATTTATTTTGATATCCCAGTTGGAGCTGAAGTTAGGAATAGGAGGCACATCATATGAAGATTTTATTCGTAGCATGCATTTACCTGTGCAGTTGAGGTAAATTAGGTATTTTGGAATTTGAAGCCACGTTTCCTACCTGCAGGCAGGATTTGGAAATATTAGTTTTATGTTATAACCAGTTTCATTATTGCTAATTGTAGTCAGGTTGATCCTATAGTAGCATCTTTCTCTGGAGGGGCAGTAGGAGTAATCTCAGCCTTGATGGTGGTTGAAATAAATAATGTAAAACAACAGGAACACAAAAGATGCAAGTATTGTCTTGGAACAGGTATATTCTTTGATCTTTTTCATTTGTTGAGCCCTATGTCTGTTCTAATTTTTTGATCTCCTTCTTCCTATCATATTTAATATTTAATGATTGATTCTTTGCATACCAATTCAATGGTATCTTATTACTTATGCATTAGGCTTCTTGTCTTTTCTCACTACATTGACAAAAGCATATTTACTTGTTTTATCCTTGTTGATGTCTAAAATTGCCCCAAACATGTATAGAGAAGATTAAGATTACCTTATTTCGCTTATTGAAATTATGCTTTGTAATGCTTCTTTGAGGAAGAGAAATATACAACCTTATTTCCTTCATAGTTGGTTTTTACGAATAGATATATCTTTTGCACTTTGCATACTTGCGTTTTCAATGTCCTACACTCTCAATTCCTTCCTTCAGGATTCCATCCGAACCACAAACCAATTTCTGTTATAGTTTACAATGTCTTTGTTCACACTGCATACCATCAAATTACTTTAAAGATCATTTTTCCACGGAAATTCAACCTGAGTTCACATGTTTATCTGATTTGTATATATATGATATAAGTTAGAGCAATATATTAAATTAAACACTCTAATGCATTTGATTGTAATACTAATTGCAGGATATCTTGCTTGTGCTCGCTGCTCAAGCACAGGAGCACTTGTTCTTACTGAGCCAGTCTCAACAGTCAATGGGGGAGAACAGCCTCTCTCAGCACCAAAAGCAGAAAGATGTTCAAACTGTTCTGGATCTGGAAAGGTTGGGCACGTGAAAATGTGGATTTAGTCTTTGATGGAAATTTCTAAAAGAAAAATGGTTGCTTATTTTTACCTCATGGTTTGCACACTTTCGTTATGTTGACTTTCTAAATTTCAGTAACTGCTATGCTTGATCGTTAACTCTTCTTGATCAGGCATTATATCATTCGATAACTTCTAGTTTGTTAATTTTTGTATCCTTAATTATCAAAAGTGCCTAATGTTCTCTTATAGTCTCTCCATTCTTTTGTTGGCAGGTCATGTGCCCAACATGCCTCTGCACTGGAATGGCGATGGCAAGTGAGCATGACCCACGGATTGACCCATTTGATTAGAGGTGCATCATCTTTCATTTGCTATTAAATATGGAGCTTCTGTAAATATTTCAATGATAAGATAACTAATTTCGGTGTAGACATACAACAGATTAACACAAGGGACTCCTTAAGTGAATTGTTTTTTTGCCATTTAAGAGGAAAATCCCTGCTTTTCCAAGAAATAGAAAAAACGACAGAACTTGTCACTCTGGCACCTTGTTTTTGCTTTCATACCCTGGTACTGATACCTCAATTACTTGCGTAGAAAGTTTACATTTTTATCTGGCATAATTCTTGGTTTGTATGCTGTCATTGCATGAATCTTGATTAATGCTCAAATATTATATTTTGAGTTTTGTTTTTGGCCAAGTTGTTGAGTTCATGGCAAGTATCAATTGAGATTTGTGGGCTGCTTTACGTAAATTTCATTTGATCATGACTTCCACTAGTTAATTATTCTCTCCTGCTACTGAATTCAATGGTCATTCTTTCTTGGATAAATCTCTAATTTTGTAGCTCTACTAGTCATGTTTCTGTCGCTGTAGATTCATCCAACCAGAAAATCCATAAAAGTCTGACATTCATCCATGTGAAAAGTCAATTCTCAATATGATAAACCTGGTTCAAAGGTTTCATATTGGTACCAAGCAAGTCTAACATCAACAAATATAATATTATACATTGTTGCATCAATGCAAACATCATAAATAAGTACAGGGCAAGATCTCAATGATTTTTTGCTGCTCAATATCAACGTAGAAGCATCTAAACAAAGTTCGCAAGTGCAATCTACAATACAACATATATTCAATAGGAGTATTTATACATGAATATTTTGTTTTACATTCAAGATTGTATTGAATTATAAAACAAGAATTATTGGATAAGAGGAATAATAACAGTTATCAAGTGGCTCATCTATCTTCAATAATTTAAATTGTGCAATTTAAATTGCACAACACTTTTTTATTTTTATTTTTTTGATAGTAAAAATTAATTAGAAGTAGTGTTAGTATCTGTTAGTGAAAAGGCTCAAACCGTTGAAATAGCCAGTTAGACCACATGCGGGTCTGCCACAACACTTTTTTATTTATATATATTATATATAGAAGTTAACAATTAAAAAGAAAAGAAAAACTAAACGAGGACTGTAAAACTCTGTGATCAGTCATCGCATGATTGTCTTAGGAGGGTCCTCCGCAATTGAAAGGCCAGTACTTTCAAACACTTTGTTAAAATTGGAGTGATTGAAGGCAGCACAGATGTAACTATGATGATGGGGAGCTTCTGATCTTTCGGTGTAATCAGTGGCGGAGCCAAGGGGTGCGAGGGGGGGCGCTCGCCCTGCTTGAAATTTGAAAATTTTGTAAATTAGTATATGAAAAATTATCTAGCCTCTCCTGAACTTTGAAAATTTTAGTATTTTGCTCCCCTTGAAAAAAATTTCTGCCTCCGCCCCTGGGTGTGCTGCATGACAATGTGTAGCCGTTTGTGATAAACATTGTAATGATACAAACCTGAAGCTCTAACTGCAAGGGAAAATTTCTGGCGAGGATGTTAATCATGGAAAGAGACAACAAACCCAATTGAGTTGAAAAGGGCAAAGAGTAGGAATGAAACTCTATCGCTAGTGGCCAAGATGGATGTTCCTGCCACGTGTGCTTCGTCTGTGCTGGTGGCTTTGTTCTGGTCAGGAACATAATTGTCTTGCCAAGTGCCACCGGGAGGGCTGAGTCCCATCTGGAAGGTGGAGGTGGCAACCAGAGAGGCTACGAGTAATAGCACCGTGCGAGCTTCACTTGGAGAGTCTCTTCCCTTTTTGAACTTGAAGTATTCCAGAAGATTTCGTGGATGTGATTGAGGTCTCTCTGGTGTTGTGGGAATATTTGAGAACTGATTTTGGTATTCAATAGTAGGCATTTGAGAGGCTGTAAGATCTCTAGCCCTTCTAGCTCCATTTCTTTGAAGAATCTCTGCTATTTCCAAATCACCAGCTTTGCTTGGAAAAATCTGTAGGAGATCGAGGGCTGTGAGACCGCTCTGGTTTATGGCATTCACTTCCAAGGAGCTATGTGTCGATCCCCAGCCTAGTAATAATTCTATCACCTGTAAACATGTTTGTGTTTTAGTTTTAGTCCCCAACTTCTTTAAAGTGAAAACAAGAAGCAATTTTAATAGGGAAAAAAAGAATCTGAACTGTAAAAATGATTCATTGACAATGTTTATTCACAACAAACCCTCATAATTTGACATAACACTTCACACTAATTATGATTGGGTATTTTTACAATTTTCTTCATCTGATTAAAATCAATAAACTGATAACTGTTTCAAAAACAATTAAAAATTAAATAGAACATTATGCTTTGCTGAGAAAAAGCAAATTCATAGGAGAGAATAGGAGAAATTAAGTACATGCCTGCCTCTGTTTTTTCCAGGTTGCTAGGTGCAGAACTGTATTGCCTTGCTCATCCTTGAGATTCAAGACGCTCTCATTCTTCATCTCTCTAACCCAATCAACCAAAACCCTAGCTGCTTCAACCTTGCTGTTCTTAATGGCAAGATGTAGAGCAGTCTCTCCTTGAATAGTCACATGTCCGATGCACTCTGGAGAACTCATGAGCATTTCAATGATCTCGTCGACCCTTCCTTTGATAGCTGCATAATGGAGGGGAGTCTTTTTCTCTCTTCCCTCCAGGCAGCTAAGTCCTCGGTCAACTTTCAGCAGCTCCCTCACAACCTCTAAATGCCCGTTGGCTGCAGCCATGTGCATGGGGTTGAACCCATCTCTGTTCAATTCTTTGGTGAACTCAGGCTTTAGCCTTGTAATCTCCATCACAAAACCATCATGCCCTGATGCAGAAGCAATATGTAAGGGGTTGCCAATGGAGAACAAGTTGACGGTGTGGAGGATCAAAGGATTTTCTCGTAGTAACTCATGCAAATCTTCGATGCTTCCAATTTGAGCAGCCTGAATCAACCTCGCATCCATTTGTTATTGGAACAAGTTATTTTCTCTTGCTGCTGATAGATGTTATAATTTGTGTGTTATTGCATATCTTATAGAAGATGATTCATTTGAACACAATTTATTCACCTTATCTTTTGTGACCAAGGATTTATGAGGTTAGTGATAAAAAAATTTTTTTTTTAACAAGTTTACATTTTGGAAAGAATTCAAACTCCAAACCTTGAATTAAGGGGTATACTTTATTACAAGACATATAGCTATCAGAATGTGAAGTCTATGTGTCTATGATAATTTTTTTTAAGTAAAATTAAGGAAAATAATAGATTAATAATGTTTTAAATATAATATTTGTATATAATATAACATATTATTTCGTGATTAATTCATTTTTTTATATACATTAGAAGGTTAATTGTTTAACAACAAAAAAGTTTAAATATTTGATCTTGATTTTAAATTAAAAATTTTAAATTAATAAATACTAACTGCATCAAGCTATTGTTGATATTTTGTGATTAATTCTTGTCATATAAAAGTATATAAATGTTATTGTTTATATTCATTTATTTAATAGAAGTATATTATGTACTTATATGCAATGTAAAATGACATTGTACTGAAAACAAAGTCTTAGAGTCCAAATATTAAAATATGCCAATAAAATAAAATAGGTACAAAGATGAAAGGGAATAACAGTTTATTACTGTATTGTGCAACCCACAATGAATTAAAAAAACACCAATATCTTGTAGCCTTAACGTCATTTTGTGATTAAATCTGTTTAGTCAGAAATTATCCCAAAAAAAAAAAATGTTTCGTCAGAAATGATTAAAAAAAAAAAATCTGTTTAGTCAGAGGGTAATTAATGTTTTGATTTTGAAACTTAAATTTATTATTGGGAAATTACTACAGGATTATTGAGTTGGCAGCTTGAGGATTGTGTAATATATAGTAGATTTTTTTTTTTATGTGAAGTTGAATAGAAAAATTAAACAATTCATCGTTCAAAATGTTGACGTTAGTCCCAACCTCACTTCCTCCCCCCAAAAAAAAAGAAAAAATTTTTTCTGATGTTAGTAGTTAGTGCTAATTACATACACCTCGCCAGCTAAAATTAGCGTTAATCTTTCTTCAAGATAAAGCTAAATAATTATGGGGGCCAATGAAGTTGAAGCCTTAATGCAGTCATAGATAGACTTTGTGATTTTTTTTAGTTAAGACGTTGTAATCTTAGCTTTTGTTGAGTTTGACACTATTTTGTAAAGGTTCAACAATTTTAAGGACAATTTAATAACAGAATACTATAAAATATAGTAACATAAAAACATATGTAGTGAGTAAAGAAAAATAATGAGAAAGAAAAATCACTAATTTTATGTGATCTAGATGCATACATTCTTCTCTCAACAAACCTATATCTAAAAAAAAAAATATATATATGTGCCCGCAGCATTGGTTGTATTGGTTAGGGTGCATGTTATCTATGCCTGGCTATGATATTTAAACAATTCTCATTTCCCAATTTCTTTATGTTAAAAAAAATTCACTAAAAAAGTTTTAATAATAAAAATATATATATCAATCTTGACTCTAAAAAATAATTAAAGTTTTAATCTTAAATAACTCGTTTTATTTAATTAAAATTTAATTTAAAATTTAAAAAATTATTTTATTAAATATTGATATATTAAAATATATAATGAGTTTTTAAATTTAGATACTAATATTTAATAGGATAAAATTTTAGTTTTTAAATACAAATTGAAACTCTAATTATTTTTAAAAACCAAGATTAATATACACTAATCTCTATAATAATATTATAAATTTTCTTTATCATGTTTAGGTCAAGGCAAATGAAAGAAAGGAGAAAAAAAATGAAATTCTTTTAACCAATTAAAATAAGTTATTGAGTCAATGAAATAATTTCATTAATTATAATAATTTTCTCTCTTCTCCCTCAAACCAAGCATGTTAAAAAATTTCTAAACAGATATATATAAAATCTCTCATTTTACACCTACTTTTTTCATAATTGCACCCTATTTACTCTATTAAAATTTTGCACTTAAATAATAGTTCAAAATTTGAGATTTTAATATATAGATATAGATTTAAATTTTAAGTTGAATAGAAAAAAATCTTAAAAAATAGGAGGACTAATTGTTTTATATAACTCATTTATCTCGTGTCAAATGAAAAACCTCTACTGGTTCTCTGTATTGGAGTGGGCCAAACAGTAAAAATTGGACAAATAAACTATGCTGTGATGCTAGAAACGAGCCACAGGCCACTCTTAAATGGTCCACCTTCTTGCTTTTTTTATGTATTTGGGCCTTCGGCTATTGTAATTAGAGTTTTCCTAATCTGTGTTTAACATATTTTTTTATTATAATGTATATAAAAAATTAAAAGAATTAATATTAATTTTAGTGTAGTGTGAAGTGAGTGAATTTAATTGAATAATTAATAAATTAAATATTAATTTTTATTTTTTAATATAAATTTATGATAAAAATATATATTTAATACTCCATTAACCTATACCTTTACAAATAAACGCGGGTGAGTAAAATATTTCCAGATGATTAATGGTTGGGTCCAGTCAAGCCCAATTTTGGTTTCTTGGTATTGGTACAACCAGGAACCAGTAGAGTTTTGGTCTTTTGGGCTTTTGGCCCAGTTTTGATTGGTTCGACCATATATCCATGACGACGGACCAAGTTAACGAAACGGGTCAAATTTTCTTACATTCCACAGCGCGTGAAATGGACGCGCTCAGAGCCACATACGGAGACGACGATTCTTCAGACTCCAATTCCGATACCACCTCCTCACCGGCGCCACCTGCCAAATCAGAAGCCGGGGTGGATTCGACGCTCTCTTCCCCACTACCTCCACCTCCTCTTTCTCTCCTTGACCCTCCCAATTCCCTCGGTAATCCATAGTTCTTTGTGTTCTCGATCATCATGCCTCGCTTTCTGCTTCGCTCACCAACTGTTTGTTGTTTTGCCAATGATAGGGACGCTGGATAACTTGCAAACTGGTCAGCCCAGTAGAGTCAGGAGCTTCCCTCATGTTGAGGGCAACTATGCTTTGCACGTTTACATCCCGGGTAAATCTGTTTTTGTTTGTTAAATTCATGGGGTTCAAGGAATTGTGTAGATTCTTTTCAAATGCTGTGAGCTGTTGAGTTTAAATCTTGGTTCATTGTGCCTTTAGTTTATATACCATCTACATCAAAGAAGGAGATGTGCCAGTTTCTAAAGAAAGTAGCATCCCTTGTACCAGACCTTTACGTTGTAGATGTTGATGTTCCATTAAATGGTTTGTGCAAAGATGAACATAAGCTTGAACAAGTTGCGTTGGGAAGGGAATTTCACATAAGCTTAGGAAGAACCGTTGCTATTAGGGTGCACCAGATTGACTCCATGGTAGCTATGCTTCGCCAGAAGCTTCAGTTTCAGAAAAGGTTAACCTTCTTCTCTGGGTATTCTAGTTCATTCTTGAATATGTGTGCAAGTTTTTATATTTAAGTTCCATGATTGAGTATTTCCAATTGGTTTATTTACAGGTATTGGATTGATTTCAACAAGTGGGAAGTTTTTGTAAATGATGAAGGCACACGCTCCTTTCTTTCAGTTGAGGTTTTGACAGGTGGACAAGCAGAGGTACATGGCATTATCATGTTGTATGTGTTTTCTTGTTTGGGTATACGTGCAAACCGATTTGAGATTTTTAATGTCTTATGCTCTAATTATGAAAACCTAGATTCAGTCTAGTTCAATGGGTTTCATATCTGGTGGGTTCTTATTCTCTATTTGAATTCAGACGCTCCTCCTGTGGAGCACAAGATCGTTCGTGTAATCAAAATCAGTTTGCTCATAGGCAGATTCATTTTCTTCCCTTTTCGTTTTCTTTTTCCTCTCTTAATTATTATATGGTTATGTTGCTCAAAATTATGGTATTAATTTGGTTAAAGTTAATTTCAGATAACAAAGAACATCCAAGCCGTCAATGAGGCCTACAAACTTCATAATCTTCCCGAGTTTTATAAGGTTTGTTTTGCTGTCCATTCCAGCAATAACTTTTACACTTGTGCATGCACAAAGTAAATGATCATCTTCTATATTGTTTGTCATTCACAGGATCCTCGCCCGCACATATCCTTGGCTTGGGCACTGGGGAATATCAGTGATTCCTTAAAAAATGTTGTTGAAGAAGTAAAGAGATCTTGCTTTCGAGGTTCTTTACAAAGTCGTGTTTTCACTTGCAAATTTAATGGAATTGAGTGTAAAATTGGAAATAAAACATATAAGATATGTAAATCTCCAGATGAATTATAAACCTTGTAAAATCCGAACAGAGCACTATTTTTTAGATGTAAGGGGTAGCCCTTCTACAATCTCTTCAATTTTATTTCGTTTCTTCCTTCGACTTGTCTTACAAAAGGAGAAAAAAAGTGTTGCTGACAGAATAGAGATGGTGTTGAACCATCGAAGAAAACCTATACTGGGACTGCAAATAAATCCCTTTAATGAGTCATTTCCTGCTAATCCCCTTAACATGGTTTAGCAGAAGTAATCTGCTTATCAATGAATTGCAAAGAATGATTACGCTAAAATTACTGTGGATATGCAGGCCGCAAAAATTTGTTCACAGTCCTGGTATGGACTCAAGATTGTATTTTTCGGAGCTTGAAGTTTCAGCCTCTTGGTTTGGCCGTATCTTTGGCTTCTTCATAGCATCCAGTGTCTGTAAGTATGTGTAGGAAGCACTCCGACTAGATGAAGGGGCAGGATTGTTTATTCTGCTAGCAAGGAAGCGACGGATTAAACCTCTGAGGAATGGAGCCATTGTGTCTGGTTCATGTTCTAGGTAGTACATGATTCCTCCCATACATGCACAAAATAAGGCCACCTGTGACATATGGGAAACACTGATTAAAGCAGAATGTCCAAAAATATCAACTCATCAAATGAAACCATCTTACAATGCCTCACAGATCATGTAGGACACTCGCATATTCAAAAATAGGTCGCCACACACATGCATTGTGACCAACAGAGTGAAAAAATGCATATCCAATTGACATCTCATAGCTTGAAAGCACTTTCTCAGTAACATTACCATTCCTTAGCTGCCCATTCACCTCTTAAATCTTAATTTCAGTCAGACAGTTTATTTGTGGCTTTTCTAAAGATATATACGGTACCCAAGAATTCAGCAAAGAACAGCAGCAGAAATATCAAGTGTAAAGGAGGATGCTATCTATTTATCATTGTGAGGATGGATATTAACAAAACTAACAAAGAATGCAATCAGAAGCTGACGATACCCATAGAGAAGCAATACCTCAGCATTTCTAATTTTAGGAATCAGGTGGCGGTTCACTAAAATAGACCATAATGAGTCTCCTGCTCGTGGAAGAACATACAATGCAAGCTCAGCACGTCTAGATTTTTTCTCAAGTAGTACAGAGAGAGCTGATATTCCACCAGCAATCCAATATACCAGCTTGTGGTCTTTTGATGCAACCTTTCTGTGCATACATATGACTGCCTGTATCCCACAGTGAATATTCAGTAACATATTCATACAAAGATTAACAAAAGAAATATATTTTTTTAAAAGGGTGAAATAAAAAAAGGCAAGCAGGTACCTGAAAAATTCCAACAAATGCAGACAAGAATGCTGTTGATCGAACAGCACCTTTAACAGCATTCCAGCAAGTACGAGCAGGAGAATCCATGAACTGGAAGCACATTAAAACATAAAACTAAAATTTAGTTCAACTCTTTCAGAAAGGAGAAATGATTGCCACCCCTGGCCAGTAAATGAATCATAAGGGCATTACACAATATGAACATATTAGAACATTGTCCAGAAATGAAACATAATTGGCACCAACAAATTGCTAGAAACTAATTATGGTAGCTTGAAATTATAGAAAAAAAAATCAGTAACTTGAAATACTAGGCATGATGCCTGGGAACCTTTTCTCAAGTAAAGGAAAATTCTCTTCAGTCATAGGAGAAGCACAAAACTACTGACCTACCATGAACACCAACCCCATTTACAACCATAGTTGCTATACTTCTCTACCCTTCACTCGCACCAGCATAAGATGCAAGGATTAAAAACAAAATAGAAAGAGGGAAATTATTTAAAACTAAAATTGGAAGATGTACCTTCTGCAGGTGCAGAATGACAAACGGTACAAAAGTCAAAGAGAAGTATAGTGGAAATGTCTTCCTGAATGTAGCTGATGCTGCATAAGCATTGTGGGCTAAACAAGAATCGGTGTCTGGATGAATAACAGAACAAGGAATGATAGAAGGGAACTCTTCCAATTTCAAAATTTCGGACTTCCTTTTGGTAGATAAATAAGCTGATAAAGAAACAATATCCACTGGACCACCTCGACAGCTTTCCCTCACAGCCTTGTAAACAGGAGCTGCAACTGGACCAGTCTTCTGAATAAAATCATGATATGACTTTGGCAAGGTTTCAGGACGCATCACGAATGCATACATAATCTGTTAAAGAGTGAAAATCAATATAAATCAGATATCCATTACACCTTATTATGTGAAACAGGTTAAAATGGTACAGGCACAAAAATTTAACATGCAGCAACCTTCAGACAATATCCATTTTTTAATTCAAAAGGTGGTTAGAAGCAAGTCATTGGAAATAAAATCAAAGTTACTCTTGACTATCTTTCAGGACCTAAACGAATTTGTTGCCAGTGTAACATTACAACTAGAGAAATTAATGTCAAGATTGTATTACCTGGGCACATGATAAAGCAAAAAGTAAAGAATCTCCATGCCTCCAATGACTTCCCCAAAGGTGAAACTTGTTCTTAGACTTTGCAGAATTATAAGCACACTGTTTTGAAAAAAAGAAAGAAAATTAAATAAGACAGATTTTTGTAATTTCAGACATTTTAGAGAAATTATCTACCACGAAGTGTACCTGAGCTACCCTAGCCAAGAGATAGAGAGCAAGTGTGCGCCTTCGGCTTGAATCATCTAATGCTAAGACAGACAAACCAGCAACTGAACCTGCTAAAATTCTGCTCCATCATCCACTTAAGCAATGTCATAAATAAGCAATAGGCCCAAACATGCGTCAACATATTCAAATTCAAACAATTTATCAATAAGACATTTACACAGAAAACTTACGCATTCATTGGAGTTTCTTTCTTTCTTAGCTTTCTCAGCAAACATCTAAATGCATGATAAGATCCTGTGAACCCACCAAAAAGCAAACCAATACGACATGCTTCTTCTCTTACTATAAGATCTTTCTCTGAGACAAGTTGCTGAAAAGAAAATTCAGATATTCACACATCAGAAAACATGGCATGTGCTTATCTTTCCACAACTAATAAAATAGTATGAAGATGCAAATCCAAAAAATCATCCAAACAATTCGTCATAAGTTTAGCTTGATAACAAGAAGGTAACACAAAAAACCACTCTAGCAAGAAATAATGTCCCAAAGATCAAACTTTCTCCCATTATTTGAGTCCACTGTGATTAGGTAAGAACCCAATTCTACATTTTATCAACGAATAAACAAAAGTCACAAAACAGCATCCAAATATGAAATCAATCACTTAAGTGAAAACATTGACTTTGAAGCGATTCAGTAAACCACTAATTCCACCCATTCACGTTCGTCCACCACTACGTTTATCAAATCAAAATCAGCAAAAACTCGAAAGAATCGGATGATCACAAAGAAAAGATTGATCTTAATAACTGCAATTAAGCTGGAAGTGATATCGAAACCCTAACCTTGAGATCGAGAAGAGAAGAATACGACTGTCCTCTAGCGAGCTTAAAAGCGCGAAGGAGAATCCCAATGCCAACTCTAACGCCATAAGAGAGAAGAAAGCTCTGGCAGAGGTTACCTATTGCGTTAGCGACGCATGAGTCATCGGCGTGATCACAGGGCGGATGATGGCCATGGCCCGCCGTACGCTGGCGAAGCTGCAGCTCCTCCATGGCCTCTCTCAAGCGCTCCTCCGCCTCCCGAAGGCGGCGCTCGGCCTCCTCGTTGTCGGCAAGGAGGATTGGCAAAGATGGGGCAGAGGAGTTTCTGGCGGTAGAGAGAGACGGCATTTTGGATTAACGTAATTGGCATCGGCGACCTCAGCACTGGGAATGAAAGGAGAAATGAAGCATGCGCTGCGAAAAGAAACATCAGTCCGTAATAAATAACATTTTGTTTTTTTTTTTTTCCATAAATTTGGAATTTGTTTGCCTTTTTGATTTGTTTTAAAATTCATTTATTTTCTTCTTTTAAATAAATGAAATTTCTTTTTTTTCTATAAATTGACCTAATTATTGTTTTAAAAATTTATTCTTCAGCATAAACAGCAAAAAATTGCAGTGTGAGTTGTAAAATTATTAAAATATTAACAATAATTTTTTTTACTTTTATAATATGTTTAGATTAAAAGAAATAAAACGAGTGAAAAGAAAAAAAATCTTTGTTTGGTTATAAAAAAAATTAAAAGGGAGGGGAGGGAAAATTTTTCATTTATTTTATTTTTTTCTTCTAATTTAGTTAACTATCCAAGTGAAGGGGAGGGAGAGAAATGGAGGGAAAATATTCCCCTTCCCACCATTTTCCTCAACCCAAATATAGTGATAATTCATTTAGGTACTCCAATAATTTTAATATTCTAACTATAGAGAAAAGTGTAAATAAAAAAACAAATTTTCTTATTTAGTCTATTTAAAGATAGAAACTTTTTGAGTTTCTAAATTAGCTTGTAAACTTTCTTCTTTTTTCTTTTTTTTTGTC